ACCTGAGCCTCAACTCTCGCGGCCCGGTACCAAACGACTCCCGGACCGGTAAAGGTCCGAGTCTTCCGCTGCTTCTTTAAACAATCAACAAAATCAAGACAGTGCAAAGATGGAGGTAAGGCATTCCACAATCTGGGGTTAAAATGAGATTGTGGGACCATTAACAGCCTTTGTCTTCTGTGGGGATATGAGATTTTGGCCATATCGCACAGCCCTACGAGAAGCTCAGAAATATACGCTGGAGATTAAAACTGGGGGCTGTCTTCATCTTCGCCAGTTTTTTGGATTTTAGATGGCCGATGTTTCACGCGGTGCATTTCATTTGTTCGTGGCTCAGTTCTGTGACAGAGCAGACTCAGACACATGAACGTCACATAGAAGTTTCAAACATGTCTGACAAAGTCAAACAAAGTCGCGTGGCGTAATGAAATAAAACCAGCTGAATGCTCACCTGGATGGTGGGGTAGCTCATGGAGTGACTGATCCTCACCGGCCGCCCGCACACGGACGCTGTGATGTTCCCGTTGTAGAAGTTGGCCATCGCCCGTGCTTCTTCTTCTGTGGCGAACTGAAGGAATGCCTGACGAGGGAGAGGAGACAAACAAAGAGGTGTTTAAACGGCGCAGAACAAATGTCTGCAACGCGTACACCTTAACCTTAAAAGATGCTTCACAAGCGACTGAAAGGAGCTCTCCTTAGTTTTACTGATTTTCAAAACTAATCTCTAATTTTAAATATTTTAAATACTGTGAGTGAGTTCTGGTGTACCTCGGGTCTCAGGTCCAGCACCAGGTGTTTGACCACCTTTCCGAAAGGCTGGGCAAGTTTCAGCAGCTCGTTGAGGTACTGGTACCCTCGCCTGAAGCCGACGATGTTCACCACTCTCATACCCTGATGGGAGGAGCAAGAATTGAGGAATTCCAGTGAAACAGAGTGAATGAAAACAGGTTTCCGAACACAGATTATGTTGGAAATCTCAAAATGTCTGAAGCTAGCGCAATTACATGCAAAAGCAAAGATATTATGGATCAAAAATCATTATTAATGCAAAATTTTCCTCTGTGTGGAGGTTTGAGCAAACACCATTATAAATATATTGATTATTATAAACTCAGAGTATTTATCAAAGTAAACGCGTCTGACGAAGCACTAAATAGAGTTAGAGTGACAGTGTGACCTCAGAGGATCAGATTTAGAGGGAGTGTCATGCAGCTGAGATGCAGTGATCCACAGAAACATGAAGTCAAATATTAAAGGTATCAGAGCGACGGCGCTCGGGTACGTACCCCTCGCCTCGTGTTGTCTGCAGAGAAGAGGAGACACAAACAGAGAGGAAGATGTGCATTAATTTCAAACACCTTTTTTTCCAATTGAAGACATCGTCCTCACATCCATGAAGGAAAATGACTTTTTTAAGGAAAAGCTGGTGCTGCAGCAGATTACAGGTACAAGTGTTAACTTTGATCTCTAAATATTGATCTGATCAGGTACCGATATTGTCCGACTCTCCGTGGGCTTCGTCGTTGTCTTCCTCCAGCTCGTCCAGCGTCACAAAGTCCTCCATGTTCTCTGGGAAGTCCTGCTGGAAGAGACATCATTAACACACCTGTGCCACTCCTGGATTACAGACTGAAGGACAGAGCAGATGCGTCACCTCTTCTTCGGGTAGATCTCCCTCCGCTGCCTCCGGCGCCTCCGAGCTCTCTGCCGCCTCCATGTTTGCTTCCTCTTTGCTCTCGTGCTCCTCGGCCGAAGTTTCTGTTTCTGCCGCTTCCGTTTGTGTCTCTGACTCCGCCTCCTGCTTGACCTCACCCGTGTCTCCAGGTGTGTCATCAGTGACATCATCAGTAACCTGTGTGCAGTTCGGTTTAATTCCAGGAATCACTTTTGGCTTTAATTTTTTTTTTCATCTTTTTTGTTTTCTCACCTTCTCCTCTTTCTTCTCCTCCTCCTCCTCCTCCTCCTGTTGAGCATCCTCAGACTCCTCTACCGTCAAATTCACAGACTCTGCTCCCTCTGGCTCCTCCCCCTCTCCATCAGTTGCTGCCTGCTCCTCCCCATCCTCCCCTCCTTCCATCACTCCTGAGACTTCCTTCTCCTCCTCCTCTTCCTCCTCCTCTGGCTCTGCCTTCACTTTCTTCTCCTCTTTCTCTTCCTCCTTCTTCTTCTCCTCCTCCTTCTCCTCCCTCTTCTTGTCTTCTTTGGACCTGGAGGTGGATGATTTGGATAAGGTGGTTTTGGAGGAGGTCCTGGTTCCGGTGCCGGAGGAGGTGGAGTTGGCTTTGCCACTCTTCCTGCTCGAAGCGTCTCCTCCACCCTTCCTTGCGTTCACACTGCGTGAAGCACAGAAGCATTAATGCATTACTGACTTAACTTTTCTTACTCAAGTTAGCTTTTTTACTTATTTACTTTCTATAATTACTTTTTTTTGTCAAATTTACTTTATTTTCTTTACTTGCTTAAACTTAATCTAAGTTACAAATTTCTGTTAGTGTTTCCTACTGCACAGAAGAGGAACGAGTCCTGCACCAGGTCACAGACCATGTCACGGCCATCACGCGTCTGAGGTACTCACTTGAGGGTTTTGTACTTTGTGCAGACATTGAGGCGGATCCGTCTTCCTCGGATGGTGAGGGGGTTCACAGTGTAATACTTCACCAGCATCTCTGCGTCCTCTGCAGTTCCCAGCTGGATAAATGCCTGCACACATGGAAAGTCAGACTCATTTTAGCTCATGGAGGGCGTACAGGCCAATTTTGTGACCAATAAAAACCACACTTTCCACACTATCCGCAATCACGAAAAGCAGCATTAAAAAAACATTAATGAACAACTGAATGTTAGTTAGAACTACCAGACCACATGGCTGACATGCCAGGTTTAAGCAACACTGGTGTCTTTGAAAAGTTTTGGGGTGGTGGTCAAGGGATGAGAAGTTTGGATCCAGATAGATCCCTGCTCAACTTTTAAGGCTTCAAACTTTCCTTTTTGCTAAAGCTTAAAGTCAGCGATGGCACCAGTACCTGGTCTGTTAAGAAGAGGTGTTTCTCCACAACGCCAAAGCGCTCAGCAATGGTCAGCAGCTCCTTCTTCTTCTCATCCTCGCGGGGCAGGTTGGAGAAAAAAACTACCTTGCTGCCTTGACCTTTGACCTCCCTCACAGGTCTGTCCATCAGTCGATCCATCGGTCGGTCCATCGATCGCTCGTCTTTCTGCGGGTCAAAAACGGAAACCTGTGAGGGTCTGAGTGTGTCAGAAAGCAGTGAGTTTTATTTAACCGGCGAGGGCAACGTTACCTCGATGAACATGAGGGTCTGGGACAGGTAGAAGGAGATGGATTTGCCGTACAGAGATGCCGGGTGCTGTTTGTAGTAGTTCACCACGTCCAGAGCTTCTTCATGAGTGCTCATCTCCAGAAAAGCCTGATGGACACAGAAATTAGACTTCAGGTCTTACCGTGAAACAGGAAACAGGTCAGATCCAGTGGTTTGTGATCTTTAGGACGACGATACTGAAGCTTGGCTCGTTTCTGTAAAGTGTGAGGGCTTGGACTGAGCGATGGTCAAAGTTTTTCCCCTATAAAGACTTTCTGGGGAAGTTTTTGCTTCTGTTCAAGTCATCCTTCTCTTTTTTGGTTTATTTGGTGCGCTTGTTTAAAAATCCTTCTGAAAAATCAACCCTTATTTGACCCGTTTAACTTTGTGAGTTATGTGACATATTCAGCTTAATTTAAATAAAATTTGTAGTTAATATTTTGTTCTTTTTTTTAACTTTGATTATATTTGATCCAGACATCATTTTTTGCCACTTATGTAGATTTTAACTTGCTGCAGTCAGTACGTTATTAACTTATACTGAATTTTAGTTTGATTTTTATTAAGCTCACTTTGTTTTATTGAGGCATATATTATTATTATTATTATTATTATTATTATTATATTACACCATTTTATTTAAGATGCGCTAACGTGATATTTCTTTTTCTCTCCTTTTTAAAAAACATTTTGAAAATTGTTCTTCTGAGTCAAAGCAAAACACAAATACTTCAAACAACACATCAAAATTTTTTTTGCATTTTCTTAAAAAGAAAAAAGAAAAGGTCCAGACATCTGACACATCTTCGACTGACTGACCTTCCTACGACTCATTAGTCTTCCCTTTCTGATTTATATTAAATTACATGAGTCGTCACATTTAAAATCAATCGCTACCTCCGACCCAATCCCGACAGAATCAGCTAACCTCTCAACGCCCAGCAATATCTTACCTTCACACAATGAATATTCCCAGTTACAGCCCCTCAGACTTCATAGGGGTGCTCAGAATTTTGCACTTTTAATTTGTGTTATTATTTTTACTTTAATTTCATGAGTACAGCTGGTTTCCACATCAAATTCATATAAGTGTCCCAATCTAAAGCCAAAATCTGTTTGTTTGTTTTTTTGTTCCTTATGATTTTTGAAAATTATTAAAAAAGGTATTTTTTTCCCTTCCTCAGATTTGAAATGAATGAAGTGTAAACATCGAGGTGAGCTGTCTTACCTTGTTCTTGAGGATGAGGTGCTCCCTCAGGCAGCCGAAGCGCTCAGCGAAGGCAAACAGGGTCTTGTTGCTGAGAGGCTTCCTGTCGTATTTCACCACCACCACTCTGCTCCTCAGCTGAGGACACAACATTTAACACTGCTGCACCGTCACTGAAGCACCACAAATGTTTTCAAAGATATTCTGGATGACGTGAACTTTTAAACAATGTGTTTGGCACGGAGGGAGGAAATGTGTTTACTGAAACCCTCTGAAATCCACAGGGTCAGAGACACAGCAGGTGACACAAGCGTTCAGACTGACCTTATTCAGACCCAGCTGTCCAGGACCTCCACCTCCACCTCCACCTGACACAGAAAAACACAATGTTTAGGCCACCAATTTAGGGTCTTTTAAGTGTCCAAAATGACCGTGCAGGGTTTTTTATATTTTATACAGAAATAGACTTTTTAAAGGCTCCTATTATATTAAATTAGGGTTGTGCGATATGACCAAAATCTCATATCCTGATCAAAAACATTTCCCATCCTGATAACGCTTCATATCACAAAATAGCGCATTTTCTGTAAATGCTGTGAATCTCGGGCAACTCGATTTGCGTGAAGTGTACCTGGAGTACACGACGCCTGAATCTATACATTTTTAGATAGAAGCTGTAATGCCTGCCATTTTCATTGTGAGTATTTATTACATGGCGTGTTGCTGGGAAAAGCCTGTTCTAATGTTTGAGTCTAAAGATTATTTTGAGCACCTGACGTCTCTTTTTTATCTGTGATGGTTTTTGTGCCCGAACATTTTCAGAGGAATTATTAAGTTTAATAAGTGAGGTAAGTCAGCAAGTAAATAAAGTAAGATAAGTAAGTACACTAACCAAATTAATAAGGTAAGTATAACAAGTAAAGTAAGAAAGCTGAGTAAAGTAAGCCAAGTAGAGCAACTATATTTATTTTACTCACTAAAGTTATCACAGTAAGTAAATTAAGCAGGTAAATAAAGTACAATAAATACAGTGAGTACAATAAACAGTAAATGAAGTGAGAAGAGTAAAGAAAGTAAAGAAAATATGGTAAAGTAAGTACAGCTAATAAAGTGAGTAAAGTCTGACAAGGAAGAAAACAAATTACAGGAAGAAAAGCAAAAGTAAAACATGTTAATTTAGTTTTGCTACTTATCTTACTTAAATAGAGTAAGTATGTACAGTCAGTAAATAAACAGAAATAGTAAAAGTAAAGTTAAATAATGAAGTAATTAAGTAAGACAAGTAAACTAAATAAACAAAGAAGTACACTGAGTAAATTGAAAAAAGTAAGCAAAGAAAGTAAAGTTAATAAAGTACAGAGAGTTAAATAAGTCAGTAAGTAAAGGATGGTAAGAGTAAAACTAAATTAAAGAAAATACTGGCGGCAGCCTCTGCCACCTCTCAGCCTCCTAGTAGATGCACCTATGGTATGAATTTCAAAATCCTGTGTCACCTTGTTCTCAAATTGTTCAAACCTAAGTCCATAAGAAAAATAAGAAAGCTAGGCTGATTCATTCAGATAAGTAAAGTAGGTAACTAGGGATGCACCGATACCGGTATCGGTATCGGTGCATCGGTGCACCTCGATACCACATTTTCTAAAGTACTCGTACTCGTTAAAAGTCCCCCGATACCG